AGGGTTGGATAAACATCTTCCTTCCTTTCTCCTTGACTGATGAACACATTTTTCTTTCCATTCAAAGACCTTCAGATTTATTCCTCCCAGAATAACCTATATGTCTTTGACAAAATTGTAAGCACACTCACCATCTCCAGAAAGAAAGCCTAGCCAAAGCTCCAGGAAAGACTTTCAGGGGTCAATTCATAGAACCATTTTCTCAGGAAAAAACTCAGGTACTATATGTTCATTCTTTTTCTTCATGATCTTCCTTTTGCAAGCCCTGATGGTGCCCTCCCCAAGATAAACACACAACTGAAGGAGAAACAGTTTACTAGGTGTGCAAACATAACTTCCAGACACCCAGCCCTCCAAGTTTCCACTTCTAAGCAAATCACTGGCCCTAAGCCACTCTTATCTAAACATTCTGGAGCCAACTACCTGCTAACTTCAAACCAAATAGTAAACTTACCCACACTAATGCACTCTTTACAATGGGTAGGAAAAGTTTATGGTTATTCCTATTTTAAAGAGGAAGGGGAATTATAAGGGAAGAAGATAATATTAAAGAGGAAGAGGAAAAGTTAGGAAAGGAGTAACACTTTATTTCTTGGCCTCAAGCCTGAAATAGAAAGGGAGACAAGCTTTTCTGCATCTGCTTGGGCAAAGTAGTTGCAAGTGGTATTTTGACCTCCTTGTTCTTTTATCTTTGACCAGCCCCTTAGCTGGCTATTTTGTTATTGTTATACTCACATGGGTAGCCTGTCTTTATTGTGGAGTTTTGAGTGCTTGATGGTCTTGCCTGTATAGGATTGTAGTAATTTTCTGTTAACTCTCAGCTATAGGAGCGAGTCCAAGAAGTGCTAGGAATTTCAGGCATGCCCTTCTGGCTCTACTCTCTGGTGGTAACCTTTATTCCCCATGATAGTTGGAATCAATCACATCACCTAGACAATATTATGACCCCCATCCCAGCTCTGCTCCCTTAATAGCAAAAGAAGCCCTTTGTGCTCATAATTGCAAGACATGGCTCAATCTCAGGAGGTAACAATAATAGGGTTTATTTACAAAGGTGAGATTGTGATAAGGAAAGATTTCCTGAGGCCACAAATGGTCAGCTGTCCTATGCCAGATAGTGTCCACAGTGTCCAGTAGTTTAAACTAAAAACTGCTTGTGCAAGATGGCATTGTCCATCCCAGAAGAGCCTGCAACTGGTGGCACACAGGTAGGTAATGGGCTGGGACCCAGCTAACCTATGGCAGCCCGGGTAGTCTCAGGTGGCATACCTGAGGCTGTATCGCAGCAGTGTCTCTCCTGAAGCAGAAGTCAGATTCCTACTGAAGCTCCTTTCAGTCTGAGTCAAACCTTCTCAACCAACTCAGCATCTCCTCTCAAGTTGACTCCAAGGCTTCCCAAACAGCTCCTCTCCAACACCTCTGTCAGGCTGAGTATCCAACCTCTCTGAAGCTTCAGCTTATATATCCCCCTTCAGGGTAACCACCTTTCAAACCTGGTCAGTCTGTTTTCAAAACCAGCTGTTTGCAAGACTTAATGGGTGCTGGTGCAAGCTTGATCTTCATTGGTGTCAGTGGGTGTTGGAACCTGGCCCGTTTTCAAAACCAGCTCAGGGTTCTAAACAACAACCCTGCTAGCACATTGTCTGCCCTGCACTATCATGCAGGAGCTGGGCAGGTAAGCTCTGCTGTACCTGAATGGCACTGGCCAGGTTCAAACCTGACCTATGTGTTTCCAAGACTGCCAAGATTCTTTCCTCTTTTTTCCCTAAAACCCAAACATGGCTGCACCCTGTCTGGCCATCAAACCTGGTTACCATTGCGGAGCCCAGGCTGATGCTGCTCAGCCAGAGGCTGCTGTTGGAAAAAGTCCTGGGGCGTCCTTGGTGGCTTAGGAGTTAAGTCTCAGTGCTATTACCACTAAGGCATGAGTTTGATCCCCAGCCAGGGAAATAACCCACATATGGTGCAGCAGACCTTTCCTATCTCCCCTGCTACTCCCCTTAGCAATGTACTTTAGTAGATCCACCTGTTCTGTTCCCCACCCTGTCTCTGATGAATCCCCTCACCCCCCCACCTCTGGCCTACACCCAGTTCTTCTTTTTTTCACCCCAGTTCTTCTATGCAAAACAAAAAAAAATGTTGTCCTGGAACTAGATATGGTGGTGGTCACACAACTTTGTGAACATATAAAACCCACTGCAATGAGTTTTATGGTATGTGGATTACATCAATAAAAATTTTAAATTATTAGAACGTTTTCTTTGGCTAACCCTAAGTGGGATAGATCAACCAATCTGGTTATGCTGTCTATATGAAGACCAATTTTGACAAAATCATTGACAAACTTGCAAAAATTAAGACAGAACAGAAATTGTAATTTACAATTTACTCCTATGAGAGAACAATATGTAAGTACATGTTTTTTCTTTTTATTATTTATTTTTTTCTTTTTATTTCAAATAAAAAGCATATGAACAAATCACAATGATTAACCCATTACTTTTCCCCTTTAATGCACTATAACATACACACATATGCTAGTAAAGCATAAAATGGTGGACTATCACAGTTTACTATATGTTCGGCTTGAATCGCTAACAATGAGAATATATCTCGACGATAAAAAGAACACGTCCACCTCCAAGGCTGTTGACCCATACTTGTTAAAGTGTCTAGCGGAAGGCAAAGCGCTTACAAACACAAGGAAGAAAGCCCAGTTGTGCTCAGGTGTGTGCACAAGGGGGCAGCGGCGAGAAACCTGGAATCCGGAGAGAAGGGCGGCTGGGTCTCTGTGTCGCCAGGGGGCAGAAGTGCAGGGTAACCTAAACCTACTACTACTCGCTCTTCCTCCGGCTGGACATTGCAGAAGTCACAAATTCCATCCATCTGCTGCCGCCCAGACAGATCGAAGGGTTTCAGAGTCGAGGGGATGCCCCCCTCCACGCCTCCCCCCTTGAGAGACTTGGCACCGCGCGGTCTTCCCGCTCTTTGGCGCCACACTAGCGCTCAGCAGCGAGGCTTCTCCCTCCCCCAACACCCGCAAAGGGGAAATTGAGTCACCGGGCGGCGAGGCCAGAGTCGCCAGGGGAATGCGCGCCGACGCCAGCCCCCGGGGCCTTCCAGATGCTAGGGGGAGGGGAGGATTCTCCAGGAAAATATACAAAGGAGGGTGAGAGGGGGAGGCGGTTAGCTGGGCAGGAGCTGGGCCAGACACATGGAGAAACGCTGCCCAGGATCAAAGGAAATATGACATTTGAAAAGAATGTGCGCGTCTGCGTGTGCTGCGGGGGGCGGGGGCGGGGCGGGCGGCGTGTTGTGGGGAGCAGGGGCTGGGTCCGGGTAGGGGTCTCCACCCCTGACCTTCGGCCTCCCACTCCCTGTGCGCACCCCCACCCCCCCTAGACGGAGGCTGGTGGCGGGTCTCGGGGTGCTTTTTGCCCTCGCTCCCCGTGTCTCTCTTTCCTTTATTTCCGAGATGAAGCTGGAAGGGAAATGTAACCTGAGGAGTCCAACCAAAGGGAAAAAAAGAAAAATCAAACCAGGCCGCCTCCCCGCTCGGCCTCGGAACAGTCTTCTGTCCCCGCCGGCCGGGCCTCCCCTCCCCGCCCCTCCAGCGTCGCGGCCCTGGGCTGGCCGCCGGGGCCGCTCCGCACGTCACCGGGGTCCCCGGGGGCTGCGGTGGGGTGGGACCCGGGGCGGGCCAGCGGGAGGACGGGGGGGGGCGGAGGGGGGAGCCGCCTCGGCCGCCGCGGAGCCCGGCCCGCCGCGCCAGCCCCCCCGCCCCGGCCCCGCCGAGCCTGTTTCTCATTAGAGTCGCGGGCGCGGCCCGCCCGGCTCCCGTGTGTTTGTAAACGTCTGACCCGCGGCCATCGCTTAACCCTGCGCGGCGCGGCCCGGGCCGGGGGTGTTCGGAGCGGAGAAGGCGCGACCTCAGGCAGCGAGGGTGGACGTGCACGGCCTGGAGGGGGTGGGATGTGCACCCCCCCCCGCACCCCACTCGGTCTGCCTCCGCCTGCGAGTCTGCGGCGCGCTTAGGAGTCTCAGCGCTGTCGCCCTCCGACGACAGGCCCCGCCAAGCCGACCCTTCCTAGGAACTCCAGTCCGAGTTTTCCTTTATCCTCCCGCCCAGGTGACAGGTGTCCAACTTTGGGGGCCCTCCGGATCGCGGGGCTCCAGGTCCTTAGTAAACCTGGTCAGGATTTTTCAGGAGAACCGGAGCGAGATGCCGCCAGTCCCAGATTGACTCCAGACTACAGCTCCCGGGGAGGAGGGAGCCGACTTCCCGTGGAGGCTAATTAATGGCCCCTCGGGGTGGCGGGGACAAGGACAGCGGGAAAGCCCGGCCTGGATCACTGCCCATTCGGGACCGGGCAACTTTGAGTGGCTGCCCGAAACCGCTGAAAGTTCTTCACCTTGCAGGGACCCGCAGGCACGGCGGATGCAGGAGCTGGGTCCGCGGGGCAACACGGCTTCAGCAGAGGGGCTTGGAAGGAAGGCTTTTCTCCCTGCAGACTTGTCTGAAGCCTGTCTGCACCCTAGAGCCCAAGCCTCGCTCTTAGACGGAAAGGGAACGGAGGACAGGGGTCCCTCCTTGCTAGCCACCGAAAAGCACCACTTCCCTGAACTTAAGAAAGGGTCTTCCCGGGCTGCTCCTCTGTGCACCCAGGGCGTGGCCCCTTTAAGGCTCTCGAACCCCGAGCCCCAGAACTTAGACCGAGTGTGGGGGGGGGTGTAGTGTTCAGTGCAGGAAATGATTGTCACAGCTACAGGCCAATAGGCATCATTATGGCCGTACCAAGGTCGAGGGACCGTTTTCCAATTCAGTTTTGTTCTTTTCTTTTCTTTTTCTTTTTTTTTTTTTTTTTTTGAGGGGGAGGGCCTGAAAGCGGGCTGAGGGCGGACGGGAGGGGGGACGAGGGGCGCGTGGTTTTCCCATCTCATCCCTGGAGGAGGGGCTGGAGCATCCTCGGCAGCCAATCAGGGACAGGTTGGGGGGGGCACTTTGAAGAAGTTTGGGGAAAAAAGTTTGGAAAAGCTTCTATAATAACGAGGGGGCGTCCGGAGGGAGGCGGCGGCGGCCGAGGGGGCGTCTCAGAGCAGGGGAGGGAGGGAGCCGCGGGTGAAGGTGCGGCGCCTCCCGAGCTCCCCCTCCCACCCAGCCCGGGACCTGGGGGCTCTGGCCGGATCCATGGGGGCAGCGAGCTGCGAGGATGAGGAGCTGGAATTTAAGCTGGTGTTCGGGGAGGAAAAGGAGGCCCCCCCGCTGGGCGCGGGGGGGTCGGGGGAAGGTTAGTGCGGGACTGGGACGGGGTCTTGGGGTCAGTGAGGGAAGGGCCCGGTGACCCCGAGTCTGGGATCTCAGGGCAGCGAGTCTGGGGTGAGAGATGAGGGGGTCAGTGTTTGAGGGGAGTCCGGGGGCTTGAGGGTTTGCGGAGGTGAGGCTGGGGTCCGGGCACCACTTTCTCCTTTTTAGGTTGTGACGGGGTGGGGGTGGGGGTGCCGCTGGCTGCGCGCCGCCTCCTGGCTGGGCCGACTGTCACTGGGATGGGGGGCGGGCGGGCGCTGTGGTCCTGGGGGCGCCGGGCCCCGCTCGGGGAAGGGGAGCTGGGCTCCGGAGCTTGCCCCGGCGGACCCAGCCTCAGGCGGGCGGAGCGGCCGCCCGGGGCCGGGGTGCTCTCTGGCCCCGCCAGGCGCCCCTCCCCCTTCCCCGTCTGGCCGCAATGAGAGGCAGATGGCGGGGCTTGAGCCGGGGGCGGCGGCCGCCGCTCGCACGGAATCCGCGCTGCCCGCGTCCCCCTCCCCCCTCCCCGGCCGGGCGGGCACGCTGCACCCCCTCACTACACCCCCGCCCCCAGATTGGGGGGAGCGAGGGAGGAGCCACCTTCCCTCGTCACCACTGCCCTGGCGCCCCCGCTTCCCTGGCCACCGTTGCGATGGCAACTGGGGCTCCTGCCAGAGCCGTTTGGGGGTTTGGGAACCGCTGCTAATTGGGTTCATGTGTGAGTCGCCCCCAGCCCAGCCCAGCGCCTCCCTCTACACGCCTCCAGGCCCAGCTCCAGCCCCTCTCGACCCGCCTCCCTCACCTTAAGGCCCGCCCCCTCCGGTACCCCAGGTCCCAGGTTTGGGGCTCAGAATGTGGGGTTCTCCGAGTGGGGAAATGCCCGGCACGCCTGGTTCTACCTCCTCCACCTTCCGAGGTCCAACTTTGCTTCTGTCTTTGTGGTCCTGAAGGGCACCTAGAGGCCGCTCCTTGCTGAGGAGGGGTAGCACAGCGGCACTTGGGGGCCTGGCCACGGCCACGCAGGGAACCTAAACATCTCACCTGCTTCTCTCTCTCCCCATCTCCTGTGGTAATCCTCCCCCTATCCTCCTTCCTTCCCATTTTGACAGAACTGGACTCAGAGGACACCCCACCATGCTTCCGTCTGGCCCTGGGGGAGCCCCCTCCTTATGGTGCTGCCCCTATTGGCATACCCCGGCCTCCACCCCCTCGACCTGGCATGCACTCACCACCACCCCGTCCTGCCCCCTCACCTGGCACCTGGGAGAGCCAGCCTGCCCGGTCAGTGAGGCTGGGGGTGTTGGGAGGAGGACCTGGGGGGGCTGGGGGAGGCCGTGTGCTTGAGTGCCCCAGCATCCGCATCACCTCCATCTCTCCTACGCCTGACCCACCAACCACGCAGGAGGACAATCCTGATGCCTGGGGGGACGGCTCCCCCAGGGATTATCCCCCACCGGAAGGCTTCGGTGGCTACCGAGAGGCAGGGGGCCAGGGCGGGGGCCCTTTCTTCAGCCCAAGCCCTGGCAGCAGCAGCTTGTCCTCCTGGAGCTTCTTCTCTGACGCCTCTGACGAGGCAGCCCTGTATGCAGCCTGTGATGAGGTGGAGTCTGAGCTAAATGAGGCAGCCTCCCGCTTTGGCCTGGGCTCCCCACTGCCCTCGCCCCGGGCATCCCCTAGGCCATGGACCCCCGATGATCCCTGGAACCTGTATGGCCCAAGCCCGGGAGGCCGGGGGCCAGAGGATAACTGGCTACTCCTCAGCGCTCCAGGGCCCAGTCCAGCCTCCCCACGGCCTGCCTCTCCCTGTGGCAAGAGGCGCTATTCCAGCTCTGGAACCCCATCTTCAGCCTCCCCAGCTTTGTCCCGGCGTGGCAGCCTGGGGGAGGAGGGGCCTGAGCCACCTCCACCACCCCCCTTGCCTATGGCCCGGGACCCTGGCTCCCCTGGTCCCTTTGACTATGTGACTGCCCCACCGGCGGCGGCGGAGAGCATCCCCCAGAAGACCCGGCGGACTTCCAGTGAGCAGGCTGTGGCACTGCCTCGGCCTGAGGAACCTGCCCCGTGCAATGGGAAGTTGCCTTCCGGACCAGAGGAGGCTGGGGCTCCTCCTGGGGGTCCTCGGAAGGAGGTGGCTGGCATGGACTACTTGGCGGTGCCCTCCCCACTGGCTTGGTCCAAGGCCCGGATTGGGGGACACAGTCCCATCTTCAGGTGAGGGTAATGGCTGGCACTGGAGGTTTCCACCCACTTGGGGAGCGGGAGGGTCAAGGGATGGGTTTGAAGAAAGGTCTTAGTTCTGTGCTCTTGGCATTTCAAAAGATAATCTGCACCAGCATGGCCACTGCCATCCACCCAAGCTTAGAGGGAATTTAAAAACCAAGCACCCCCTCCAGAGAGACAATTTGCAAAAGGATAATCACCCCCTATGGACCAATGAAGAAAGAGTCTCCCTTTCCCTTTAGGAGGACCATTTTGGTATAAGAGGAGTTCCTCTTGGGTGTTTCCTACCCCCAGTCCTGCAATTCCTGGGTAAAGAAGCCTCCATACGCATTTCCAGGGGTTCCCCCAGGACTGAGTTTCTCACCCTCAGAACTACTCATATACTGAACAAGAAGATTCCTTTTTGTGGGCTATGCTGGGCATTGTAGGATGATTTGGCAGCGTCTCTGGGCTCTACCCACAAGATGCTAGTGACACCCTCTCCCCTAAATGACAAACCAAGATGTTCCCAGAAGTGTCCAGATGTCACCTGGCAGCAATGTCTCGTCGGGTTCCCTTGGCCTAGGGAATCTGGGAACTCAGTGTAAGAATGTTGCCCCTCCATAACCCCCAGCTCCCTGGAACTGACCTGTTCAGCACCAACTAGTATGAAAGATGTGGGCTTGGGCACTGGATGTACTCAGGCCTGCTCTCCCAGTTACTGCCTTGCTTGGTCTCTGCATTCTACTTTCTGGACTTGTGTTTCTTTATTTGAACAACAAAGGAGTTCATCTCTAAGGTCTTTTCTTGTCTGACTCTTCCCACCCAGATCTGGGGATTAGGATGGTCTTCAGGTTACTTTGTATCCAGGTGAATTCTTGCCATCTGAGCCTTGTGCTCAGGGCTGGATAAAAGGGAATCTCAGGCCTAGTACCATCTCCATGTCCCAGGCCTAGTACCATCTCCTTGTCTCAAGGGGCCCTGAGGCTAGCCCCTCTGGGCTTTTGGGTTCTCTTTATTTCTACTCTGACTTCCCTACTCTCCCTCCCCTCCAGCTCCCTCACATCCCAGGGGTCTATCTTGATTGAGGTCTAAGGCTGCAGATGGTCAGTGCTCTTCTCTCCTGCCCAGGACCTCTGCCCTACCCCCTCTGGACTGGCCACTGCCCAGTCAGTACGAACAGCTGGAGCTGAGGATCGAGGTGCAACCCAGAGCCCACCACCGGGCTCACTATGAGACAGAGGGCAGTCGAGGAGCTGTTAAAGCTGCGCCTGGTGGTCACCCGGTCGTCAAGGTAAGGGAAGAGGGCAGGCCTGAAAGCCTTTCTCCTCTCCTGTCCCAGATCCTTGCGGATGGGCTCCAGCTGTGCAGACCATGGCACTGCCCTTTCCCACACTCCCTCTCAGCAATGACCCTGCAGGCAGCCTTGGGGAGGGCCTGGAGGGAGGAAGGGTGCACTCCAAGGACCCGGATATATTTTCTACTCCCCTGTCCCTCCACCCCCGCTGTAGTCATCCCGTGGGACATCAGCCTCATGTCTACTCTGTAAAATGGTGGACTGCCAGATGTGGGGGAGGGGTTAGGCTGAGGCCAAAGTTCACTGGGAGTTAGGTTGTCTCTGTTGAGTTGGGCCTGTCTCTTTTGGAAGATTTTCTCCTTTGCTCGGCCCAGTTTGGGCCTTACTCCAAGAATAACACTGTGCACTCCAGGCCACGTTTTCTCCACAACTGGTGCCCAATTCCTCCTGGGAATCCCTTCCAGGATGTCCTTTATCTCTCACCATCCTCACCCCCTGGTAGACTGAAAACCCAGGGATGGATGAAAAATGAGACAGCGGGGATCCCAGTTGACTGGCCTCCATCTCCCTCTGCCAGCTCCTAGGCTACAGCGAGAAGCCACTGACCTTACAGATGTTCATCGGCACTGCAGATGAAAGGAACCTGCGGCCTCATGCCTTCTATCAGGTGCACCGGATCACGGGCAAGATGGTGGCCACGGCCAGCTACGAAGCCGTGGTCAGTGGTACCAAGGTGTTGGAAATGACCTTGCTTCCTGAGAACAACATGGCAGCCAAGTAGGTTCCCACTCTGTTTCCCCTCCGTCTTTAAGCATTTAGGAACAGTCGTTTCCACTGGGCCTGAGCTAGCTCCTTCCCCTCCCCACAAGAGCTACACTTCATCCCTAAAAGCTGACTGCAGGTTTTCTCACCACCTAAGAGAGGACTTTTGGGGATGGGTACTCTGGAGATGTCATTTCTGGGTTAAAATAGCCATAGTCCCCTGAGGCATATAGAGAAGGCCATTCAGGACTTTGGCTGGAGGGTGGGTGCTTCCCTCTTTGAGGGGCATCACCATTCTGGCTTCAGCTGGATGGACTTGCCTTCCCTTCTTTGCCTTCAGCATTGACTGTGCTGGAATCCTGAAGCTTCGAAATTCAGACATTGAGCTTCGGAAGGGCGAGACAGACATCGGGCGCAAGAACACTCGTGTGCGGCTGGTATTCCGGGTACACGTGCCACAGGGCAGCGGGAAGGTTGTCTCCGTGCAGACAGCGTCGGTGCCCATTGAGTGCTGTGAGCAAAGAGGCCCTGTGCCATCTCTGTCTCTTACAAACTTTTTGTCTGTGTCCATCCGAATCCTCTGCCTAGTGCCCTGTGCTCTGTCTGTCCTGCATAGCCCTGTGAAGGACCCAGTCCTCATTTCTATGGTGGACAAGGTGGGGACAGTATTCTGATTTGCCTCTGTCTCTGGGGTGTACCAGAGAGACCCTGTCCTCCATGTGCCCTTGGGTGGCCCTGTGCAGTTATTTGAGTGACTCTCTGCCTGCCCAGGAGTAGCTCCTTCCTTGGTCTGTGTAACCCCAGGGGTACCAATGGTTTACTTGTATGTCTGCTTCTGAGAAGGGCCTCAAGGGCCATGTGGCTATGTGGGCTATTATTCCAATGGGGGTGGGGGCAGAGGAGGCTTCCTCTCCAGATGCAGCCCAGCCAGGTCTTTCTTGCACTGCTCTGCAGCCCAGCGCTCTGCCCAGGAGTTGCCCCAGGTGGAGGCCTACAGCCCCAGTGCCTGCTCTGTGAGAGGGGGTGAAGAACTAGTGCTGACTGGCTCCAACTTTCTGCCAGACTCCAAGGTGGTGTTCATTGAGAGAGGCCCTGGTGAGTAGCTATTGAGGCGGGGAGCAGGCAGGTGGAGCTTGGAACCGGCAGGTAAAAGGTCTCTGGCACCATCACTGAGCTAGCTAACTGTTTCAGTTTCCTTGTCTGTAAAATGAGACAGCCTTCCTCTTATATTGTCTGCTTCCCAGGAGTGTGACAGCAATCTAAAATACTCAGGGCGGAAAAGATACTCTTTCTATTTATTTAAGAGGGGTCAGCTTTTAGCACTATGTACAAGAGTTAGGACATGGAGGCAGCCTAAATTTAGCCTAGCAAAAGACAGCTGGGTCAAGTAGATGCGGTATATCTACACAGTGGAATACTAGGCAGCTATAAAGAAAGATGGGGTACAACCATTTTCAGCAGAATGGAGGGAGTTTGAGAGAATTTTATATAGGAAAGCAAGTCAGAATGCCAGCAACAAAAAAATACTGAGCATTGGTATAGGGGACTATTTGTCAAAGTAAAATACAAATGCGAGTGGACATTAGTGCGCGCAGGAGGACTCAGGTTAAGAAAGTGGGAGGGAGAGAGAGATAAGGGATGGTGGTGGGCAAAAAAAGAATGGATGAAGGACAGTCTGGGATAGTCCATAGACAAGTTCAGTTCTGCTCACCTTTTCTAAATTATCATAATGGCAAAGATCAGAGTTCAGTAATACACTGCAGATGCTAGGGAAAAAAAATAAAGAGGCGTCAGCTGGGAGATCCATTTTTCCTCATATGGATAAGATATCTGAGGAGAAGGAAAGGATGCCTCACACTGCCCTGAGCCCCTCCTGAGGTGTGGTCCGGGGAGCACAGCTATGATTACAGGAGCTGCCCCCGGGTGGAACAGCAGGGGTGCAGAAGGAAAGACTGAGGGACTACACTCGAGACCTTTAGCCACCCCCAGTACTGCCCAGCAAGAGGCCCAGCCCCTACACTCAAATCTAGCACCCTGGGGCCATGTCAGAGCTGGTTCAGAGTTTCTGGGTCATGAGAACTGAGGTCTCATTGCCTTCCATCAAGCTAGAACCTTTTCCTACTTTTGAATTTCCTTCCAGCTCTATCATGGAAGGGGATGTTTGGAGCCGGGTGGGAAAGTTCAAGATTCTTCTGTCACTCACCCACTTGGGTCCCTGGACTGACCCTGCCATTTCTCTGGATCTCAGTTTGCTGCTCTGTATTCTGGGGACAGTTTTAAATCCTGCCTCTTCCATTTGATGGGGTAAACAGGCAGGGGTTGCCACCGTGAGCCTGGTCTTGGAGGGCCTTCTGAGTGTGGCCTTGGCTCCAGCAGGAGGGGAAATGGTGGGGGACTGGACAGGGGGTTATTGGGCTGGCTTGGGCTGAGCTCTCTGTTGCTCCTGCACAGATGGAAAACTGCAGTGGGAGGAGGAGGCCTCGGTGAACCGGTTGCAGAGTAATGAGGTACCAGTGTCACTAGGGTGCCCGAGGGGGTGGGCTGGGAGAAGTCATAAAATTCTCAGCTGGATCCCATACCCGTGGGTGCGGACTCCAGAAGCTACCTATTGTCTTCCGGTGGAGGCATCCTGGCCAGTCCGGAAGCCGGTTCACCTCCAGGGAATGGACTTCAGCAAATGGGAAGGGTCAGGAGGAGGTGAAGTTTGGCTTCTTAGAAAGGCTGGCCTGAGCCTAGACCCCCGAGAGCCCCAAGCCTCATCTTCTGCTCTTCCCCAGGTGACACTGACCCTGACTGTCCCAGAGTACAGCAACAAGCGAGTGTCCCGGCCTGTCCAGGTCTACTTTTATGTCTCCAATGGACGGAGGAAGCGCAGTCCTACCCAGAGTTTCAAGTTCCTGCCTGGTGCGCTCTAAGACATTCCCTGCTGGGGGAATGGGTGGGGGGGTATGGGGAGTGGAGTAGAGGGATGTGGGGTCCCTCTCTTGAGGGGCCAAGGGATGGATGGAAAGGTGGCTGGAGGGAGTGCAGAGGGGAGACTGCCAGATATCTCACCTGCACGTCCTCCTGCTTCCTCACTTACCCAGTGATCTTCAAAGAGGAGCCCCTGCCGGACTCATCTCTCCGGGGCTTCCCTTCAGCATCGGGCCCCCCCTTTGGCACTGACATGGACTTCTCACCACCCAGGCCCCCCTATCCCTCCTATCCTCATGAAGACCCTGCTTATGAAACTCCTTACTTGTCAGATGGTTTCAGCTATGGCACACCCCCTTTGTACCCCCAGACAGGGCCCCCACCATCCTACAGACCTGGCCTACGGATGTTCCCTGAGACTGGGGGTGCCACAGGTTGTGCCCGTCCACCTCCGGTTTCCTTCCTTCCCCGGCCCTTCCCTAGTGACCCCTACGGAGGACGGGGTTCCCCTTTCTCCCTGGGGCTGCCATTCCCATCTCCGGCCCCCTTTCGGCCTCCTTTACCTTCATCCCCACCTCTTGAAGGTCCCTTCCCTCCCCAGAGTGCTCTTCATCCCCCACCTGCTGAGGGCTACAATGAGGTAGGGCCAAGCTATGGCCCTGGGGAGGGGGCTCCGGAGCAGGAGAAATCCAGGGGTGGCTACGGCAGCGGCTTCCGAGACAGTGTCCCTATCCAGGGTATCACGCTGGAGGAAGGTGGGTGTGGGACGGGGGCTGTGAGTCTGAATGTGTGCAAGGGATTGCTCTGCATGTTTGCTAAGGGCTGGAGCTTGGCTTCCCGAGATTGGGCATCCTTGGTCCCTCAGAGCCCGTTGGAGGGTGTCAGGAAGCAAGTTCAAGGTGTGCGTGGCCTCCTGAATCCGGCTAACTTAATTCTGAAGGGCAAAGAGAGGGTACCTGTCCCAACCCTTCTACCTCTGCTCTCTGCCCCAGATCACAAAATCTCAGGGCTAGAAGTACTTGCAAGACCATTCAACCCAGCTTTCTTAATTTGCAGATTCAGGCACTGAATTTCAGAGAGGGCCAGTGGCTTGCCGAGGTCCCACTTAAGCATGTATGATTTCCCTGTCTTGGCTTCCCCTAAACATGGTGACTGTGGTCAGACTGGCGAGGAGGGCCCTACCTGTTTTGTCTCTCTTTTCTCCTACTGGCTGCACTCGCCTTTGACCCTGCTGATAGCTGTTGCCCTGACGTTATAGGCCAGGCCAGCAGGAAAGGACTGGGATGAGGAGCTGCCTGGGTGGAGGTGAACAAAGTTTGATTGGGAGTAGGTGTCAAGACCCGCTGAGGAAGCCGAGGCCCAGTGGTAGATAAGTCAGTGGAGGAGGTGCCTAGAGGCATCCTAGACAGGCCTGACAAGAATGGATTGGGGGTCTCTGGTAAAAGGAGGGCACCCGCCCCTAGCCCAATCTCTCAATTGCCCCTCCTTTACAGTGAGTGAGATCATTGGCCGAGACCTGAGTGGCTTCCCTGCATCTCCTGGAGAAGAACCTCCTGCCTGAACCGTCGCCTGGCAACCCCAGACCCCTCCCCTAGCCTGCCCACTTTCCCTTCGTCCTGGGTGGTGGTTCCAGAAGCTTGGGGTCAACCTGATTCCTCTTTCCCCAGCTTTTACCTCCTCACCCCCACCTTTTGTCCCTCCCCACCCCGACTGAGGTGTGATCCCCGGACCTGGTGCTGTCTTGGAGGACTGGGGGAGGGAGAGCGTGGACAACCAAGCTGGGGTGGGCCCTGAGGCTGTGTTCAAGGATGGTGCGGTGAGGGCTGTGTCTAGATTGTCTACTGGTCATGGTGCTGGGAAGCGGGGCAGGTTGATGGGTAATAAATTGCTCATTCACTAGCGCTTCAGGCTCCAGGAGTCTTTGGAGAAAGAGATGGGATGACTTCCTCTAGCCTGGTCTGAGGGCTTTAGAGGTTGGAAAGAGATGGGATGTGGCTGGGATTATTGCATCCCAAAGAGCTTCTCAGCAGAGGGTCCTGGGGTGGGATTATGGGGTCATAGGCTCCCTAATAGCACAGGGTTGAGGGGTCAGGGCTTGAGTTGGCCTCTCCACCCCAGGGATTCGGATTCCTTTAGGAGCTTTTGCATGGGACTTGGGAATTCGTGTATTTTCAAGTTGCTTTCTCTTGCCACCACCCAGATTCTCATTCACTGCCAAGGTCAGGAAACATCTGTTGTCTAGTCCCTCTTCCTCATTTTTCAAGGAGAAATCTCAGACTCAGAGAGGTCTTACAGGCCATATAGCTAATCAAGCAGGTTGAACCCTTTTCTCCTGATCTTCTGCCCCAAATCCACATTCAGACAGCTTGGCCCACAGGCCTCAGTTGCAGGAGGCTTATCTCCCTGGGGGAGGGTGGGCGGTGAGGGAAAGCTGGCAGGGATCCATCTACATTCTGGATTTTCCCATACTTGGGAACTGTGAAGACATTCTGGAAAGATCTGTCCTTCAAAGGTAGATGATGAGAAGTCAAACAGCTCTGACTACTATCTGCCCTGGGGTTTAAGGCTTGAGCTCCTAGCCTGCTCTACATGTGTACCCACATATCACCACTGACAGAGCTGGGATGGAAACCTGTGTGTCCCCCACTTTGATGGCCAGTACATCATGTCCCCAGTGGACTGTGGAAAATCAGATGTGTCTGCCCTTCTCACCTGGAGCTTGGTGAGCCCAGACAGTGTGCACTGAGTACTAGTAGCCGGAGTTGGCTAGGCAGAGTGGGCTTTTACTCAGAAGATATTCAGGAGTTAGTACTCTGGAAACTTCCCTCAAGGCTGATGGGGTTTTTCTATGTCGAGTGGGTCTAGACAGGCCTGGCAAATACCTATGCATTCAGGGGCTGGTTCTGGGTCTGGCACATGCTGCTTAGCAATGCATTTCCTTCATCTTCCTGAATGCTAACTGCTTGTGAACCAAACTGATATGAGTGATCAACAGCTGGGCCTCTGCTGCTTTTCGAAGATACCCTGGGCATGGGGTAGAATCATTACCCTACCCTACTGAAGTTTGTCAGCTCCACCCCCAAGTTCTTTGAGAGGGGTGGGTCAGCCTCCATGAATAAAAAACTAGTGATGGGAACTCCCTCCACCCTCAGGTAGACCAGTTCTTTTTCTGTCAGGACACTAACATTCATTCATTGCCAGACATTAATGCAGCAGCTTCTAAGTGCCAGTCATTGGGTCCTAGAGGACTTCTTGGCCTCAGGGGGCAACAATAAGTAAACAACTCCTAAAAAATTCAGCAGTTCAATTCATTCAATATCTCTTGTATAGATAGTATGTCAGGTCTTGGAATACAATGAACCTCTTTACTATGGGGTAGAAAAGGAGCAGAGAGCAGAGACACTCCATCTAGGTGTGGGGGGGTTAGAGGGAACTTCAGGGGGAAACTTCTAGACTGAGACCTGAAGCATGTCTGGGAATGAGCAGGCTGAGCTGGGAATGAGCAGGCTGGGTAGAGCTGCCAGAAAGGCCAATGGAGGGGGCTTGACGCTCTTGAGAACCAAGAGGGGTTGTGTTTGCTGGGGTTGGGCATGTGCAGAGGGGCTGGAGAGGAATGCAGGCTGGATTCTGAGGGGCCATGTAGCCATGCCAGAGAATTTACAGTTATCCAAGGATGTCGAGAGCTTCATCACTAGACCCTAGGCCTTAAGCTGGGAGAGATATAAGGGACGTGCCATAGAGTTCTCCCTCCAGGAGTTGATATTTGCTTCCCTAGGACTGGTCTGCAAGTGCCTCATTCAGCTTTCTGGGCTGACGCTCTCTTCTGATTAAAACCCTGATGTGGGTGGGCCTCTCAGGCTCATAGTCTCTTCCCAGGATCCCGACAGACATCTAGTTACCCTAGGCTGGAGTGGGGAGAGAGGAGCAGGAGTCTGGCTCTTCAGCTGGTGCCAGAGAAGACTTTCTTGGCCAGGGTTTCTCAAAGTGTGGTCTGAGGTTTACTTGCATTTGAATTGCTAGGGATGATTTTATGGTGTGGTTTTGTTTTTTGTTTTGGTTTTTAATATAGATGCCTAGGCAACCCCTGACCCACTTAGTTACCTTTTCTTTATAAGAAATATATTTTCTACATTAATTCAAAAGGATATCTGCACCCCTATGTTTATTGCAGCACTACTTACAATAGGTAAGATATGGAAACAACCCAAATGCCCAAAAATAGATAACTGGATCAAGAAGATGTGGTACATATACACCATGGAATACTATGCAGCAATCAAAAAAGGCAAACTCATGCCATTTGCAGTAACACGGATGGAGCCGAAAGGCTTATGCTCAGTGAAATAAGCCAGAAGGAAAAAGAAAAATACTGGATGGTTTCACTTGTAGGAGGAATGTAGGGGAACCAAATAAGGGATCAGGGAAAAAATAATTATAATAAATCAAAAGCCAAAATTAACAGGCAACTATTAATCAGAGACACTGCAGGGAAGAAGGAGGGAGAGGGATCAAATGGGAGGGAATGTGTTCTTACACAGGGACCATGGTGATGGTGCACGGGTGAATTGGTGGTGGGAATTTTGCTGGGAATACACCTGAGAGGAGAAAGCATACATTGTACAAAAAGGAAGCATGGTGTAACATCTATATAAAATAAAATAAAAAAATGTTTTCTTATAAAAGGGGCAGGGTCTAGGTATCTGCATTTTAGAGTACCCATTTTAGGTGGTTCTTCAGCACAGGGACGTTTGGCAACTAGAATCCTCTGCCATTTGAGCGCCACTCCTTCCCACTCCTGCCTCTGCAATAGCTCCTTGCCCCCTTTCTGGACTGCTCCAGTGGAGGGTCACCTGGAATAGTGTGCTTGGGGCAGGGGAGGGTCACTCACATTACTGACATCACGACTCATCTCCCACTCCTCCTGCTCCGCCTTGCTCCTTAGATAACTTGAGGGTGGCTCAGGGACAATCTGAAATCCTATGCTGGAGCAATGGCCCCTGCAACTTATTGAGTCTCCTCTGGCTGGCATTCTGGGCCCCCAAGATGCTTAGGGAGGCACCCTATGTAGTCATCCAGTTGGGTTTTGGGTTTGGAGCCACACCTTGGAGCCCGCTGTGGCACCTTCTGAGTTGTGAAGGAGGCAGAGGAGCCGCATCTCATGTGCTTCCTGGAGATTCCAGACTGATAAGTGCACAGGGGTTTGGGAGCTCATGTTAATGGCCTAAGTGCCTGATTGTTCATTAAGTCGATCCTCACCACCTGCCCAGGACCCTTGCTCTGTGCCAAGCCCTGTGCATGGGCATCCTATAGGGGCCTTGCCCTAGAGGAAAAGACAATAGGGTCACTAGTGGGGAAGACCTTCTGCCTGGAGATGGGGTGAGATGGTCTGATCTGAGTTGCCTGAGAGGCAGAAATGATATGTTGCTATGGAAACACTGGGAATTGAGCCCAAGGGGGAGCATCCAAGAACATTTTATAAAGGTAGATGATTTTGAGTTAGATCTTTAAGGAGGAGTGGGAATTTTCTGGGTTAACAAGACAGGAATAAGAGAGGGGGTCATGCCTAGGGGTTAAAGTATCTGAGAAGGGGGCCTCCCCGGTGGCGCAGCGGTTGTGAAGCTGCCCACGGCCTCTGCGGCGCCTGTTCGATCCCTGGCTGCTCCCCGGCCACCAGAGGAGGGTCCCACATGGCACGCAGACCTCTCCTGCCGCCCGCTGCTCCCCTCAACAGTGTACTTCGGTCCTTCTGCCTGCTCTGCTCCCCGCTCTGGCTCTGGTGAATTCTCTCACCCTCCTGCGCTTCTGACTGTACCCAGTGCATGTATAAACAAAACAAACAAACAAACAAACAAACAAACAAACAAACAAATAAATAAATGAAAGTATCTGAGAAGGTCAAGACCAGACAAACGGGAAGAAACCAGACTTGGGATGCTTTAACAGGCTGTGCTGAGGAGTATGGGCGATAGGGAGTCATTCACTCATTTGGTTAGAGCGTGTGTGTGTTTTAAGATTTAAAAGCTGGGGCCTTCCTGGTGGTGCAAGGGGTTAAGCACTGCACTATGAAGCAATCCACAGGCTCTGCAGCACGAGTTTGATCCCTGATCAGCCAGGGAGAAACCTGCATGGCGAGGCAGACCTCTCCTGTCTTGCCCACTGCTCCCCTCAGCAGTGTATTTCAGTCAATCTGCCTGTTCTGTTCCCCACTCTGTCTCTGGTGGATCTTTTCACCCCCCCCCTCCCATCTCTGGCCTGTGCCCCAGCTCTTGTATGCATAAATAAATAAATAAATATTAAAAAAAAAGATTTAAAAGCTGTATGGGGAGACAGTATAGGAAGACCAGGAAGAGGGTTTTACAATAGTTCAGGCAAGAGGAAGAGAAGGCTGGCTTTACTACTTTCAGCTCAGTTAAAGAGAATGAGTTAAGGCAGGGGTCAGAGAACAGGAAAGAGCCTGGACTGGAGTCCTAGCTTAGTCGTGAACTACCAGTGTGTTTGTTACATGTCCCAGACCTATCTGGATCCTAGCTGCCTTGTCTGTAGATATCTATCAAGCTCCTCTCTGTGCCAACCTCTGTGATAGCTCCTAGGGGTAGAATAATGAGTGAGACAAACATGGTCCCTTCCCTCATGAACTCAAAGTTTAATAGGCAATTGCAGAACTATGTGCAGAGATGGGGAAATACTGGGGCTTTGGGACCTCATAGAAAGGTCACTGGATATGTCCTCTACCACTGCTTGTGTGTCTTTTGTACAGTAATGGTGGATGATGACAGTGTTTCAAGAGAATCTGTTGTATCCACCCCTTTTAGGGAGAAAAAACAGTGTCTGGAAGGAATCGATATTCCCAAGTGGGTTATTCTGGATGGAGAGCATCTGGGTCAGGAATATGGATTTGTTGCTCAGGCCTCAGGAAGAGTTGGAAGGAAGATTTCTCTATGCTTGTCTTTTGGGTCTGAGCCCTGAAGGCCTCATTTATGCCTGAATGTGTTCAAGTGGCTTCTACCACAGTGAGGCAGGGGTCTGGCAGGGCAGGAAGCCAGGGGCCAAAGCTGGCAAGTTGGCAGCTCCATGACAAGGGGCACTCCACTTTTATGTTCCTCTGAGTAATTCCTTTTAACCCCTTTCAAATGTCTTAGTTTCCCTAGGGTTGCTGTAACAAAGCACCACAAATTGGGTGGCTGAAAACAATAGAAACTTATTCCCTCCCAGTCCAGGAGGCCCAGTCTAGTTGGCAGAGTTGGAGCCCTCTGGAGGCTCTAAGGGAGAATCTGCTCCAGTCTTCTATTATGGTTTCTGATGGTTGCTGACAGCATTTGGTGTTCCTCGGCTGGAAGCATTCTCTAGTCTCTGCCTCATGGAATTCTTCCTTGTCTCTTTTGTGTCTCTGCATCAAATGGCCCTCACTTTCCCTTACAGAAACACCAGTCATTGGATTTAGGGCCC